AGCGGCGCCCCGGGAGATGCCAGCGGGGGCTGCGGCCGGGCGGGGTTCCCAGCGCGGGGGAAGGGACCGTCGCTTCCCAAACCATCTGTGTAGCACGGGCGCTTTCCTTCCCCTCTTCTATTTCAATTTCGCCTCATCAAGGATAAATGGGATTTTTCAACTATAATGCTAATAAAAGCCCAACTTTTTGTTCCCTTTTTTTCCCCCTGGGTAAAAAACAGTGTAGGGGAGAAAGCACTGAACAAAATGCTATAGTTGGTGGCCCCTGTTAAAGACAATTTCTTGGGCTTTAGCGAGGCTTATTTTTAACGAGGCTTTTTTTTTTTTTTAAAAAAAAAAACAAAACAAACACAAAAGAAACACCCAAAAACGAAAAACGTTTTTGCAGACGGCCCGAACGATGCAACAACCTGAAGAGAGGAAAAGCCAAACCCAGCAACCACGGAGCTGCCCGCGGGGTTGCCCCTGCCTCCCTCAGCCCGGCCCGGGGCCCGCAGGCGGTGTGGCCCCGAGCGAGGGGGCAGAAGTTCTTTCCCTTCCTCAGACTCTTTTTACACCATAGATTTGGGATAAAGGGGAAAATCATCAGATATTTTAAGACTGAGTTCTCTCAGACCTGTACAGCTTCTGTAAGCTGTAAGGTTCCAGAAACCTTAACACAGAACAAAAGCTCAAGGTGTGCGATCCAATGCTTTTTATCGTCATTTTACACCCAACCCGAAGAAAAAAAAAATCTAGGCAGGTTATTTTTCTCTTTGATTTCTTTTCTTCCTAGATTCTTGCATTATTGGTGACCACCCAAAAATACAAATCAAGAACTCTACTTTCTGTATGAGTGCCTATCCAAACCTGACCATGGTTAACTTCACCAGTGAAGGAAACAAAACGTTTGTCAGTGGAAGTGAAGAATACTTCAAGTAAGATCTTTCTTTGCTTGGAGACATTACGTTCATCTCCAAAAACTGCTGTAACAGACAACAAATCACTGTCTGGAAGACTAGAAATACCGTAGTTAAGGACAGCAAATGATACCCATTTTTTATGCGTAGGAATGATGAAAGCTAAATTTCAAATGCTGGATTATTTGTGTTCTGTTCCTATGGTGCATAGTACAGCTGGGGTGTTGGCCCATGCCTGGCATTTTTATCTACTACTGCAATGCAGATAAATAAAATAATACATGGTGAGAACCACCGGAACCTTCTAGAGGAACTGCTGAGAACGCTGAAGCAAAACAAAATACTGTAGGAATTTACACTGAATTGCTGCCTGCAGTTGCTGTCATTATATTTTTTTCCTTTTTAATTTTTATTTTTAATTTCTTTTTTATTCTTAGGTACTTTGTATTGAAGATTTCAGCAGGGATTGAATATCCTGGTGAGATTAGATGGCCCTTGGCACTGTCTCTTTTCCTAGCTTGGGTGATTGTATATGCCTCCCTTGCTAAAGGAATCAAGTCATCGGGAAAAGTAAGAAAAATAGTTGTGATTGTACACTTGCAGGAAAGCAGCGTGCTGCTCTAAGGGAATCACACTCTTTAAGGCAGTGAATTACTGAAAATTATTTTCAGTAAATGGTGAAGTCTTAATCAAATGCCCCTTACCTGTCTGTGTTTTCCTGTCTAGGCAAAACATAAAAAAAAAAAAAAAGATAATTTTGGTTCAGCATTTGTTCCCTAATCTTCAGTAAGTTTAAAATGAGCCCTCGAGATGCGCTCAGCAGTAGGATGGCAAAAAAGGCGCCTTCAGCAGCCTTCCCTATTCTGTGTGGTGTTCATTAAAATTCTGCTGTCATCTCACATTTCACTGTAATCAGGGAAATTGTGATGTAAATTAAGATGTTAAGTAACATATTTTAAAATCAAAACCAAACTTAAGTTGGTCGAGCATGAGCAGTGACAGCGTGTACCCTCTTTTCCAAAGTATTTGTGTGCCATCTTTCTAAAACTCTGCCTTGATGTCACCCAGCTCCTTGCTCTGTTTCTCTGACACCACATGCCTTGCTTTCCCTCGCTCCTCAAAGCTGCAGGTTTCTGCCATGCCTCCTAATGAGATGCCCGTGCCAAGAGGGAGCGTGGCCTCTCATTGGCATGAGGTGCAGGCCCTCTGAACAGAGAAATGCAATTTTTTCTTCAGCAGCAGCACTGGTTTAAGTGGTTTGTTTTGTTGTTGTGTTTGGTTTTTTTTTTTTTTTTTTTTTTATCGCTTAGCAGTGTCTGAGACTTCTCCATCAATGCCACTGCAATTAACAGACAGGTTAGAATGTTAGATGATGACAGAGCATAAATCTAGCTTGTTTACAAAGAGTAGTCTGAAAAGATAAAAAAGCTGGAGCAAAATAACTAGATATTTCCTGGGATAAAGATAGTGGATGTGCAGAGACAGCTATGAATTTTCTAGAGCTGGGTACAGGGTTTCTGATTCCAAGCCAGCCCTTTGCATCTAGAAGGCGACAACATCTGTTGTGAGGTATCTTGGGAATTATCAGAAAATCCCAGGGGAAAGTTGAGGTATTTTTATTTTCCATACCTTAGAGTGATAGGAAAAACTGTTTCATGGAAGGCCAGAGCCAAGGAACAGAAGTTGTAGAGAAGAATGGCAGTGCTAGGTTAACGGTTGGACTTGATGATCTTAAAGGTCTTTTCCAACCAAAACGATTCTATGATTCTATGAAGAACAAGTTTGGTTTGGATGTGGCAGTAGATATTTCTTTAAGTGAATCTTTGTGGCCCAGAAATATAGTGGCTCCTTGGTGTCAGGGTTAGAAAACCTGTATTTATGCACAGATGAATTCAGTATATCCACAGCCCGAAACTGGCAACTTCTTGAAACTTCAAGAAGAAAGTTGGGAAAGCAGTTTCAAAAGTCACTTCAGCTCAGATGATTCTGGTCCCTCTAAGATTCAGAGGTTAAAGTGTAAAAGGATTTGAAATACTTCTGGGTAGAGGGTACAGCTTAACTGGTCATAATTTAGCCATTTTATTTGGCCGCAGAGAGAGCTCTGCTTGGTACTAGGTAATTATCAAGATGTTAAATACACAACCTCCGCTGTGTATTTAGACATAATGATGATTAGATCTATCTGGATCATTTCACTGACTTTTGTTTTTTGTTTTTTTTTGCATTGGGATCATAAATGTTTTCATGGTGATATGTAATTACGAAGAGGTACAAACAGTAATAAAAATTCTTTAGGCTTCGTTAAATACAAAGAAATATATAGAAAAAAATCAGAGATTTAAGTGGTATTGAATGTCATTGCTCACTGTGTTTCCATTGAGCTGTGTTAGTTTACTTGGAGCAAGGATCAAAAGTGATATATCCATTTTGCTCTCAATCCCTACTGTTCCTCTCCAGACTTTCTTTTCTGCTTTTTCTTCCCCTCTCTGTCTAGAACCCAACTCCTACCTCTGTTGCTATTGATACTATTCCTGTTTCTGGCAGCAAGAGCTGTAAAATTTCAGATTCCCTGGGAAATAACTCTGTTGTCTCTGAACCCAAGCAATTGCTTTCTTCAGGCAATAGTGCAGCACTTGTATCCCCCCCCGCCTCTTCTTATATACCCAAATAAGCCCTTTCAATACTTTTTTTTTTTGTCTGTCCAGGTGGTGTACTTCACAGCTACGTTCCCCTATGTAGTTCTCATCATCCTTCTCATAAGAGGAGTAACTCTACCTGGAGCTGGAGCTGGAATCTGGTACTTCATCACACCAAAGTGGGAGAAGCTAATTGATGCTATGGTGGGCTTATTATTGCACTTAAAACGCTGCTAGGGTGAATAATTCATACAGATTTCTTAATGCCTGTTGCAAGCGTTTTCTCTGCGCAGAAGCAGCATTGTCATCCGTGGAAACTTGTTCTTCGTCTTTTGTGGAGTGTGGTTGCCGTGGATGCTTGTTACTTGTGTGCACATGACTTTTTTTTAACGTATATTATTGTAGATACGGTATTTACATGGCATGTAATATTTCACCTGAATCTCTCAGAGTAGGTGCATCTGGAAAATACGGAATTCAAAAGGAAGTACAGGTTTTCATACGCTGATGTCTGGTGGATGCTGCCTTGACTTGAACAAGCACGTGAAGCTTTTAATAGGAAACGTAACAAACCTACCTGCATTTCTTGGGAAATGCTCTGAATAGGTGTATTATACTCATTGAGCAAAGATTGTTCTGAATAATGGATATGAGACATTAGATTAAACAAAACCAAATTATACTTCCTAAGTCCCTAACAGCATATACATTGACACAGAATGGCTGTGATCATTATCCTACCTGTTTTTTAAGAAACAAAGCTACTTGCTGTGTAGGAGAGGACAGAATTAAAGGACTTGGTACCTGGCTTTGCTCTTTAGGCATTGACTGCATGAGATAGAGCTTCAGCTCTGCTGCCTCACTTGTGAGTTTAACTGATTTCTAAAAAGCCATCTATTGCCAATGAAGCCAGTAAAGCATGTTCTAAAAATGCACATGGATTTGTGTCTGCGTAGACGTAAACCCGCCCAGGGATCATATATTTTTCTGGCATGGCACATGAGCGCCTGCGTGTTGGTCTGAAGTATCTTGAGGCAGGCTTCCGGAGACTGAACTGAGGCCTGAGCTGAGAGTTACAATTCAGACTCTATAGAAATTTAAAAGGAATTTTTAGCAATACCTCGGAAATTTACTGGTTTGGTTTTTTTTTTTTCCCCTAAGAAATTTTTTCCTCTATCGATAGCCTTGTGATATCACACCGACAGATTGATAATTAAAGCTGAAAACGATTTCCTGGATGAATTGTGCAGATCTTAATTTCCTTAATTTCTCTGCAGTAATGGGTATTTTGATCCTTTGGTGACAGGAATATTAAATCTTTTGCAAACAATACAGAAATTAATTTTGCATTAATGTGAGCATTTTTGATCCCACATCGTGCAGTAAAGGAGGTGAAAACTGATGCCTTTTGCAAAATGGGGCTGTCTGAATACACTAAGTATCTGTAAAACCCTGGGTAAGTGTTTGATCATATTCAGGCGAGCTTCTGATTTTAATTTTATTTGCAATTTTAACAGTAAGAGCTGTATATTATGCTCAGCTGGATGAAGGATTGACTGCTTGTAAATTTTGAAGTAGTGTTTAAGTAACATCTTCAAGCTGGTTAGTGTGTGCCTGCTGTACAGGTCCGCCTGACTATCTGTGGGTGGACATGTATCTCCATTTCTGCACTGTGGACTTGGGTGGAAAATCAGACTTTATAGGAAAGCTTGTAAATAGAAATACCGCTGCTTTGAACATTTCGCAAGTCATAAGTAAGACCAACTCCTTTGAAATTCCAGGCAGTTTATAAATGTTTTATGTAAATATATTTAAGGCGTTGAAGAACTTTCATAAAGTGCAAACAATGTTGTTTGGTTGTTTTGTGGTTTTATTTTTTTAAGAGAGACTTGGTTGAATGTGTCTTTTCTTCTCATGGGAGGAAACTGGACCCTGGTGTCTAAATAAACCTAACTTATGCTATGTTGTTTGATGTACACCTAATGACAGAAATTTACCCTAATTTTAATGTAATCTCACCCAAAAGTAGCACATCAAGCGACACTGAAGTTCTTAGTTTTGTCATGAAGATAAGGTATTATTTAGGACCACTGGTGCATAAACCATCAGCACCTGATACAGATTTTTCCTCTTGATTTGTATTTTCTTTGCTGGACATATTTGAACTGGTATGTGTCAAGCAATATAGTTTGAATATTTGTGCCCTCCATATATGACAAAGGTTATGCTGTCATTTTATATGGGCTCAACAAGAACAGCCCCCATCGAATGGGCAGGATTTTGCTTTTAAATGTTTTATTGACATCCATTGCTCTAAAGTTCATTTAAACTACTTGTGTGTTAAGGCCCCAACAGTAACATTTAATAGTGTTATTGATCTCTAATACTGCTTCCTGAAGCCGATGCTATTTCTTCTCGTCTATGTCTTAGGTTTGGAAGGATGCTGCCACTCAGATTTTTTTCTCCTTATCTGCAGCATGGGGAGGTCTAATTACTCTCTCTTCTTACAACAAATTCCATAATAATTGCTACAGGTATGTGAGAGTGAAACCCTTCGGTCTTAGTAAACAGGTCTTCTCCAAAACCAGTCGTCTTCCATCTTGCAGAAATCTGGTTTGAAAGACCCTCCTCTTCTCTCTTTTATTTTTTTCTTTTCTCTTTTTGTCTTTTTTCTTTTTCTCTCCTCTCCTCTCCTCTCCTCTCCTCTTTTCTTTCGTGTGTGTGTGTGTGGTATGTGTCAAGCAATATAGTTTGAATATTTGTGCCCTCCATATATGACAAAGGTTATGCTGTCATTTTATATGGGCTCAACAAGAACAGCCCCCATCGAATGGGCAGGATTTTGCTTTTAAATGTTTTATTGACATCCATTGCTCTAAAGTTCATTTAAACTACTTGTGTGTTAAGGCCCCAACAGTAACATTTAATAGTGTTATTGATCTCTCTAATACTGCTTCCTGAAGCCGATGCTATTTCTTCTCCTCTCTGTCTTAGGTTTGGAAGGATGCTGCCACTCAGATTTTTTTCTCCTTATCTGCAGCATGGGGAGGTCTAATTACTCTCTCTTCTTACAACAAATTCCATAATAATTGCTACAGGTATGTGAGAGTGAAACCCTTCGGTCTTAGTAAACAGGTCTTCTCCAAAACCAGTCGTCTTCCATCTTGCAGAAATCTGGTTTGAAAGACCCTCCTCTTCTCTCTTTTATTTTTTTCTTTTCTCTTTTTGTCTTTTTTCTTTTTCTCTCCTCTCCTCTCCTCTCCTCTCCTTCTTTTATCCTTTTGTCTTTTTTTCTTTTTCTCTCCTCTCCTCTTTTCTTTCGTGTGTGTGTGTGTCTGTGTTTGTTTGTTTCTTTTAAATATTTTGAGGGTTTGTACAGTGTATCTTCTTCCCAGGTCCTAATCTACTAGCCTCAAGAAGAGCCACAGGCTTCTTATAGTCCCTGTTGGCTCTTCATTTTCAGAACCAGCAGGTTGAGGTAGAAGGGCAAGCTGGGAAGCTGTCGACAGCTGTGAGCACTGGTATGAAATCGTGCCAGTTGGCAGCCTCTGCTGAAGAGCAGCCCATGTGTAGAATGGGATGAAGTTTGCCATCGTGAGGCCTGCATGAATTTAACACTTGATTTCTATATATGTGATTCCTGTCTCTCCTAAATGTTACTATTTTTTCCGGTTGCTCTTATTGTGGTTTTACAGGTACAAAGTTATTTCAGGCGGTAAAATTTAAAATCCCTCTTATTAGAAATCACTGGAAGTTATTTTTACAAGGAAAAAAGTCATAGTTCTGTTGGCATACTATAGTTTTTCATCAAAAGCATGCCAGATAAATGTCCGCAGATGGAAAAAACAAAAGCAAGTGGCATTAGTAGAATGTTTCACTGCTATTTTATTGTCTTTAAAGCCAATCTGGTTTCCTGAAGCAAACGTTTACTGATTCCTGCAAGGACAGAGGTGCTGATTCAGGGCAGCTAGCAGGCTTCGTAGGGACTGCTCCAAGGGCAGGCTTAAAATCTTTCCAGAATCAAGACTTTAAAGCACAGGCTTCTTGGGATTTGAACTCCCATATCCTATAGACTTCTGTACACAAAATACTTAACTTTAAAAAGAAATGTGGATCAGGATGTTAAAAAGGATTTTCAAAACAATTTCCTTATGGTGTTCAATGGTAATTTAGTACAATTATCCTAAAATATGAATAAGTAACAGTGCTGCGTACTTGGTAACTCCCACCCAGCAATTCTTTGGGTTCCATTTTTGAAAATATTTGTCCCAGGCTTTGATTTTTTAATTTTTTTTTTTGTTGATCAATGAATGTATTCAGAATATCAGGGCAAAAAATGGGACAAGTCTCGTGCTATCTGTCTGCATTCATTTAGCAATGTTCTGTGTTTTTTGGAAAATATTAATGATAATTTTGAATAAAATACGCGTTAATGAAGTATAAAAATACTACAGGTCTAATACTAAATACATGCTTTACCTATGTTAGAGAAATCTATGGGAGACTGAAGCAGAAATAATTAGAAAAGCTTAGTTACTTCTAATATTTTTATTTTTACAACACATCTTGAATACTGAAATGAAGCATGACTGCTTTTCCTTTCAGTTTTAATATTCATTACGTTCTAATATGGCAGATAAAATTGTATTTTTCAATGACATATTCATTTTAAACATCATTAAATGATGTGTAATTGCAGTAAATTTGCATAAATTCACTTCATAATGCAAACCTAAAATATTTTACTTAAAATGTGTCTGGGATTTGGAAGAAGATTAACACATGATGATTCCAAACCGAACTTCGTAATTTTTTTTGCTGTAGACCTGAAGAGTTAACCTAACCATTCCTGTTAAGAGATGCTCTGTTAGAGATTCCAGAAGTTTGCCAGCTCAGTGAGGTTCTCGACAACTTTTCAGGTCGTATTTCATTCTGTTTCTGACAAACAAATAGCAGTTGGAATAAGCAATTCTAGTCAACTTAGGAAAAAAAAAAAAAAGCCTAACCCCCCAAATAATTAAAATGAGTGACTTGTTTGTTCCTAGGTTGTAGTAGTTTAAGGGGAAGTCTTCTTCACATATTTTCTTTCACACATATTGTGAAGAAAAAATAAAAATCCTACCAAGAATGTAATAATTATGGATGGGGATCATGAGGGCTGTTTTTCTGTCAAGTCGCATGTCCTTACCCAGTATGGTGTGACGTTTCAGGTATGCATTTCTTGAGATTCCCTTAACAACAACAACAACGGAAAATTGTATCAGGGAATCCTCTGCAGATGGGCAGGTGTTTAAGTGAGCGCTGCAAAGTACGGAAAGCTCAACTCTGAAATTTTGTCTATAAATGTAAGAAAGATAAAGGAAAAAAATCATCTTACCTGCATGGTGGTGGTTAGTTCCTATGTAATACAGTGAGCAGATATCCGCATCAGGTAAAGAGTAAAACACTGCATTACAAATCGTGTCACCATTGCTACCTTCTTTGGAGAGGTCAAGAGCAGAAATGCTCATCCTCCTGCTTGGCCTGTGGCTTTCTATGTAGCGTGTGGGTGATGGAAGCTTGCACAGCTGATTCCTGGTGGTGTTGTGAAGACTTCTGTCATCTCTGATCAGCATCAAATGTACCTGAGTGTAAAAGTGTACCTTCATCAGCATTCCCACAGGATGTGTGTGCTCATGAGAGAGACTCCTTAATTGTGTACAAACCCTTCCTCACTTGCACGTGTTACAACAACGTGATGTGGCTTCTTGTGTTTTCTTTTCAGGGACACATTGATAGTCACGTGTACCAACAGTGCCACAAGTATATTTGCAGGCTTTGTCATCTTCTCAGTTATTGGCTTCATGGCAAATGAGCTCAAAGTGAATATTGAAGCTGTGGCAGACCAAGGTAGGGTACGCTGCCGTTTCATTGCTTAGACAGGCACCTGGTAGCATCTTCAGCCTTGTTGTTAATGATGACATTGATAGTGGGAATAATGGCTTCAAACTGGAGTTGATTAGTAAACCACTTGTAGGCATTTCTTCATGGGAGAAGGTACACTGGGAAGTCAAACCATTACTTGAAGCCTCCTTATCACTTGTTTGTTAAGAGAAGGAAACAAGCTGAGACTCGTTTTAAATCTTTATGTAAATGACTGATGGGGGTAGGGTGAGATGTCTCCTTCACATACTCTAAATGGTGGCTGTTTTTCTCATTTGTCTCTGCTGCTATTTGTCAAATCCTCTGCAAGGTAAAAGGTGTCTGTGGTGGTGGGAATCTTGGATGAGAGGACAGAGCTTCACGGTGTGGGGGATGGGAGAAATATGGTGCAAGAGTTTGATTGAGCTTCTGAACAGTGGGGAGCAAGGAGCTGCCTCCCTAAGGAAGTAAAGGATTTCTGAAGAACCAATCTTGGTTAGTGAAGCAATTTGGTTACACATGGGGATCTGAAACTCATTAATTCGTAGAGCTGAATGTGAGCGAGAGTAGTGTGACTGATGGAAGAATTGGTGCTGTCGTGTATGGTTTGGTATGAAGTAGCGGGAGGAGAGGAAGGGAGGAGCTGTTGGGGTAAGAATCTGAGAAGTTTAAAGGGTTGTAAAAATCTGATGGCATTATGGAGGGATAATGGTTACCTTAGTCTAGTCCTACATTTCCTGTGAAATGTGCAGCACTTTGCCTCTAAGCCAAGCAACACCCAGATCTTGAAGATCGTTTTTGAACTGTGTGAAAAGGACAAATTTTTAATAACTTTGTAATAACTCATGTAGATATTTATGATTCCCCCACCATAGCTGTTTCTGTAAGTATGTGTGTGCAAAGTGCCCTGTATTAGCTTTCAGCACAGACACGGTAATTCCCAAGCACTGAAGGGAAGTGATTAATGGCTTCTCCGTGAGCCATGGGGATGGTCCCCAATGTTATCGCCCTGATCCACAATAGCACAGAGCAAGAGGAGGCTCTGAATGGGAGAAGGATGGCAGGGTTAAAAAAAATGAATGTCGCGTATTTATGGCTTCTATCCATGACGTGTCTCACGGTCTGCACTAATGTGAAGACATAGAGTGTTATTCTGACAGGTTTGTTGTGTGGATAAATTCAATGCCACAAGATGCTACACATAGCCTGAGGTACCTGATTGACTGAGCACCATGATTCAGAAATTGTAGCAGTGAGTTGACAACAGGGGACAGAAATCAAGACAACTTTCCATAGTTTCTGTACAGTAATGTTCCTAGGTCAATCTGGACAAATTAGGCACAGAGGTTAATCTGCATTTGACATCTTTGTGGGAGATAAATGGAAAACAGACAACATGAGCTGGGGACGCAGAAACCCTGTAGTTGTAGGAACAAGAGCCAGTGAAGCAGATGAAGCATTCCATATTTTTTTTTCTTGAAAAATACTTTTTTTTGGAACTCTAATGTTTCTAATTCTTTATTAGAAATGAGCTGCTACAGGTGAAAGGAGGAGAAAAACAGAGGAGGGAACAAGATCTTGCTGCAGGTTAAGAAAACCAAAAAGGCTCTTAGTTTCTTTTCACTTATTCCTTCTCTGTAAAATGAAACATGGATAATCCCACAGAATTTGCAGGACTTCTGACCTCAGTGAGATGCAAATAAAGGTGCCGGGCCAGATTCAATTTCTGAAGCTCCTTTGGCTGGCACATGGCAGCCCAGATATTGAGGTGAGGGGAAGCTTGTGAGCTGCAGTTGTCACAGGGAGGGAGTTAGTCTGGGGCTTGCACCAGAGGAGAATTTAATAGGATGGTCAGCCAGCAAACTCTTTCTTCACAGCACGTAGAATCAGAGTGGTTTGGGTTGGAAGGGTCCTTTAGAGGCCATCTAGTCCAAACCCCCTGCAGTGAGCAGGGACATCTTCAACCAATGCAGGTTGCTCAGAGCCCCGTTCAGCCTGACCTTGAATGTTCCCAAGGATGGGGCATCTTCCATTTCTCTGGGAAATCTGTTCCAGTGTTTTGCCACCCTCACTGTAAAAAAATTTCTTCTATCTAGTCTGAATCTACCCTCTTTTAGTTTAAAACCATCACCCCTTGTTCTGTTGCTCAGGTGCTATTAAAACGTCTGTCCCCATCTTTCTCATAAGCCCCCTTTAAGTACTGAAAGGCTGCAATGAGGTCTCTTTGGAGACTTCTCTTCTTCAGGCTGAATCACCCCCAACTTTCTCAGCCTGTCCTCATAGGAGAGGAGTTCCAGCCCTCGGATCATCGTCATGGTCCTCTTCTGGAACCGCTCCAAAAGGTCCATCTCGAGTAATAGGGGATACTGCACTTGCAAACTACCATGATATCAATTTGGTGTTCACTGCCTCATGTCTTCTTTTTGGTCTTCCAGTCAGCTAAGTGGGAACAGAAAAGTTTCATTCTCATCCCCTCATTTCTGGCTGGATGTTACTATTATGTTTGAAAAACTCCATTTGAGGCCAGGTGTTTTAGGAATAACGTTTCCATTAATCTTTTTATTTTAGAATTTACCTCCATCCTGAAACAAACAAAACCCACCCCAAAATCTAAACCATGCTGTACTCACTGAAATTATTTGTAAAGAGTTCTAGTCGAAGAAGCCCTGCTTGAGTGAAGCTGCAGTGGAAGCTACAAAGGGATGGACAGTGTGGGGACGGAGGGATGTGGCTGTTAGGGGTGGTGGAGGAAACGCTTGGTTCAGATGGTTCATCTCACTGGAGATGGCATAATATTTAGCACAGGGGAGGGCAAACCCTTTCCAGTTGAGTGCTTGTTGGTGGTCTCCAAGTGAGTGACGAGTCACAGGCTGGGGCGCTCTGTTCACAGCTGTTTCAGCAGCTGTTCATGGGGATGTGAAAAAGCTGCCATGAGACAATCTGATTGTAGGGCTGTCAGTGCATTCGTAAAAGCCCGTTTAGGCCGTTTAAAAATATTTCACGACGGTGAGACTTTACTCTTCTCCATGATAGGGGGAAACAAAATTCAGTCTCGTATGAGAAGAGTACCGTAGGACAAGAGTGAATACTAGGGATAATTGCAGGCTGAGTTAGCACATTGAATTAACAGAATTAAAAAGCAGACTCAGCAAGAGGGGAAAAGAGCCAACCCTTGTCCCTCCCTACCTTTTTAATTCTAAAGTTGCATTTCTTTTTGCAGTGAAGGAGAAAACCGCAAAAATGATGATAGTCACTGTTCAGGTTTTTTAAACCTTGAATGAAATTGTTAATGGAAATGGGAAAGGATTTTCTTTTTTTTTTTTTTTTTTCCCCCCCTCCTAAAATATTAATCTGAAATAAATAGTATTTTTTTCACTTAGAATTTTCCTTTCGGGAAAAGCTCAGGTACCTGATGAACAAATAAAACACTCTTCATGGAGGGAAAGACAGGGCAATCTATTTTTGTTCTACTCTGATTAAGAACATACCACAACTGAAAAATTTTACTAGTTTAAAATGAAAGTTCAAGGTCATTTGACTTTTTTTGTTTCAACATATATAAAACCTTTGGAGTTTTTCTGGCTTTAATAGCCCTTTAGAAAGAGTTCATCTCCCCCTAAATCTCTGAAGATGGAGAGGGTGGGAGCCAGCCAGCCAGGGGAGGAGTGTTTGCCTGTGCCTGGGTGCTCCCTGCCATGTGATACCTTGGAGATTTATGAGGGGCCAAGATGCAGAGATGGGCACTTTCATATTCTATAATTAAAATTTTTCTAAAATTGCAATTAATGGGAACTCCAAGACTTAATTGAACTTCTACATGCAGGAAGCTAGTGCAAACAGAGCCTTTATCTCTAATAGTCAAGAAGAAATCTTTAATCAAGAGACAAAAGCACATGTTCATGAATACATAGTATTTCTACGTGCACCTTCCTATTGCAAAAAACCATTCTTCTCAGCACATTTTAAAGGCAGCAACACTTACTGAGTCACGGACAGTGTTATTTTTTTACCTTGTTGTTAATTTTCATGTTTGCCTTTTGTTTAGAAGGAACTCCAAGCACTTCACAACTTTCCCATGGAGATTATTTCTGCTAAAACTGTGTTTTTCTCAGTGTGTGAGAAAGTAACAGTTCTATCTCAAAGAGAAACAGCATGAGGAGCCGTGGGAAATGGGATGCAATAACCTAGATTAGAAATGGCCAGGAGAGAGTGAGTTTGGAGCCCCTTCTCATGGCGTGGGTCATGTTGTCAGTACAACTTGGCTTTCATTTGTATCTTGTCTGACAGGGAACATCCTTCAGAACATTCAAAGTGGGCACTCCTTTAGCTGGGATAAACAGAGAAGAAGTGCCATCTACTGTAATGCTACCACCACATTTCTGCAGCCTCTTCTCCCAGGCAAATCTAAGCATACTTGTAGAAATACTTATTCTTTACAGTCAATAAAAATTATAGCCCGAGATATCAAACCAACAGAGAAAGGAAAATTCCTGGTTAAGGCTTTAAGAGACCCTCATCTTGTTATTTTTTCTGCTGTGCATTTTTTCAGAATGTCTTGTGGATTTTTTTGGATTCATGGTAGTAATTACCTTGTGTCTGGTATCAGCTGTGTGCATCTGTTAAGTTCTCTCCTCCTCATTTGACCGTGTGCTGATGAGTTAATGAAGAGTATTTTCTTTTCCGTTTATCCTTGTAGTACTGAGGTGTGGATGATCGTTATGGTGGTCTAAGGCTGGGTTGCTAATTGGCAGGACCAGTGATAGGAATCTGATCACAGAGCAGGAAAGAAACACAGCTGCAGTATGTAATTTTTTTTATTTTTCATATTTGGATCAGTATATTTGTATACTGGTTAAATATGTATTCTGCAGCTTGGAAAGTAGGAATGTATGAGCGTTTTGAAACTTACAGCCAAAATAGAAATTAATAATGTGAGGCTAAATTCTACAATGGTTAAATCTTCCTGTAAATATGAGAGACTGAATTGCCAGAAGGACAGGACGTCATCCAAAGTGACCTGGACAGACTGGAGAGGTAGGCTTGTGTGAACCTCATGAGGTTCAACAAGGCCAAGTGCAAGGTCCTGTACCTGGGTCAGGGTAACCCCCGGTATCACTACAGGCTTGGGGAAGAAAGGATCGAGAGCAGCCCTGCCGAGAGGGACTTGGGGGTGCTGGTGGATGAAAAGCTGGACATGAGCCGGCAATG